GCATCAAAACGCGATCGAACAGGTCGATCACCCAGGCTAAAATCCAATTTTTTATTTCAAACAAATTATTTTCCTAAGTGCTTCATCCTTTCAAAGAAGGGCTGGTATTTGTGTAAGGCATGTGTGTTAAACTGTCGAAAAATGTATGGAAAATTTTTAGACACTTGAAGAATTGGAAGCTGTAAAATAACAAGAACCATTTTGGCATCTTGTTTTTAAAATGTTGTTGTAATGCTCCCACATGCCAGGCACAGCTAAAATGCCAGACTGTTCGATCACCAATTACATATCTCTAGTTACTACCTAACAACTGTTTGGCGTATGCGCACCATCTGTTTGTGAGAGCGCAAATGGTTATTCATTTTCTCACGGTTATCATTTACAACATAAAAAAAGAGAGAAACTATATAAAAGTCTAGACAAAAATTTCAAAGAATGGCACCTTCGCATGGAATGAATGCTAGGCGTAGACACTTTCTGAGCTTTGATCAGAATTCCTGAATCATTGTCCATGACCGCTCCGTTGACTACTTCACTGAAACGAGTTCATTCAAAAACATGCATAAGAAGCTGCTTTTAATGATTTCATCCTGGACAGAGATGCTAAAGATATTGATTGTAATATATGGAAAAATGTAAAATTTTGTTAGGAAAATGGGATGAGCAGGAAAGTTTTGGGCCATTAAGTCGTATTAGCCAAAAAAATAAGCGTACGTGCAGCGGCTAAACCGGGCCGAGTATTGGTTGTGCGCGAAATACGCAATTTACTGCACATATTTTCTGCATTTTTACGTTTGCTCTAAACCGTTCTGAATTGGACCTCATTTAATAAACAGCCAATACAAGGAGGAATTACGTATTTTTACATGTATTTTGAAAACTTCGTCCTTCAGTGGCTCCGAATATGAATTGATTCTTTCCTACTTCCGCCAAATCTGGTGCACTAAATTTAAAAAGAAAAATCTACATACCATTGCAAAATGTTATTATTGTTGCTAAATTGGTCTTCCGGACTTGTCAGATTCTCTGGAATGGTCACATTCTCCGGAGACGCAAGATTATCGCACACTTGCCAGTGCGGCTGAACAACAGTCGTCATCCTTAAAATTGCTTCGGTTTACGCATCAGTACTTGCAAGCTTTGCATACAGTATGTTAAAATTTTGTGTGCATAGCTGCTTGACCTTTACTGCATTATCACCCCCTGGTCAAGCTGACAATGGTCCATACCGCGCGTGCCTAGTTAAACACCTTCCACAAGTGTTATATGTATCTTATTTTTAATATTCAGATTCCAGTACTAAATTATCCGAACAGAAAAATTGTACCATAATTCATTATTTTGAGGCTTTTGATGGGTAGCTTTGAGATAGCAAAAAGCCCACTGCTACAAACAAAATCTGACCTTGCTTGCTGAAGTTGGCGGAGGTATAGTTGAAGCAACTCATCACCCTGACCCATAGCCAAACGCCGTTCTATCATGCGCTTCCTCCTGAGCAATTGGAATATGTCTGTGCCGCGGAATTTTCGGCCAAAATAGTGGATTTTTTGAATGTACTGTATCCCGACCAGATCGATGCACATTGTTGTGACGGCAAGACCAACACCAAGATAAATCAGCATGAGCAATATATATCTAATTAAAGTGTAAATTATCATTTATGTAAAGGAAGTGAAGGAATATTACGAAAAATGCAATTTGACGGATTGAAACCGAAAAAATTAAGTAAACTGGAAAGCGCTGTTTTGGTCCGAAAAATTAATTATCAATCCAGTTAACCACGAAATTTGTTGCATAAGAAAAATATCAAGACAGCCTGAACGATCAGTACAGGCACTCCATTTTAGTGTTATTGTTAGGAAGCGCCCACACGTCGGGTGAAGCTTTGTCAGGCCTCTCGATTTTAGAGTATATACCGTAGCCAG